CTAAACCCTAAACCCTAAACCCTAAACCCTAAACCCTAAACCCTAAAACCCTAAACCCTAAACCCTAAACAATAAACCATAAACCCTACTAAACCATAAACTATACTAAACCCTACAGAAAAAGCGACAATGAATCATAAACCCTAAACCCTAAACCCCCCTAAACCCCCCAAAACCCTAAACCCTCGTAAACCCTAAACCCTAAACCCTAAACCCTGTTTACCTCTCCTGCCGAAGTCTTTGAGGTCTTGCCACTGTACGGTGGGGTCAAGGTTCGCTATCAGCTGCACACGCAAAACCCTAAACCCTAAACCCTAAACCCTAAACCCTAAACCCTTATAATAAACCCTAGCGAGAAATAATAAACCCTAAACCCTAAACCCTTACAATAAACCCTAAAAAGAAATAATAAACCCCAATAAAAAATAACAAACCCTAAACCCTAAACCCTTATAATAAACCCTAATAAAAAACAACAAACCCTAAACCCTAAACCCTTATAATAAACCCTAACAAACCCTAAACCCTAAACCCTAAACCCTAAACCCTTATACACACCACTCGGTGCTGCGTCCTCCTCCCCCCGGGCCCTCCTTCTCCCCTGATACCGGATCTGCCTCCATGCTGCTGCTGCTGCTGCTGCTGCTGCTGTTGCTGCTGCTGCTGCTGCTGTTCTTTCTCCTGTTTCTGCTGCTCTTGCTCCTGCTGTCGTTCCTGCTCCCGTTCCTCCCGCTGCTGCCGTTGCTGCTGCTGCTGCTGCTGCTGTTGCTGCTGCTGCTGCTGCGCTTCGTCAGCTTCTGCTGCTTCTCTGCTCCTGGGGGCCCTTCTCTCTTCTTCTCTCTCATTCAGGGGGGCCCCCGGGGGGCCCCCCTCAGTACCCCCCCCACGGCCTTCGCTCTTCCTGCTTTCTCCCTCTCCTATAGACACACGAGACAGCAGCAGCAGCAGCAGCAGCAGCAGCAGCAGCAGCAGGGGTTGATGATCGCCCCCCAATTAAGCCTTATCGTCCCTCGATGTGGAGATACACCAGAAGAGCCCTCAGCTGCTGCTGCTGCTGCTGCTGCTGCTGCAGCAGCAGCAGCAGCAACAACAACTGCAACGGCTGCCCCCGCAGCAGCAGCTGTACCAGCAACTGCAGCAGCTGCTGCAGCAGCAA